CATACACATACACATACATATATGTATACATATGTTGATTTGGTTAAACACATGTACGCATGTGTATATGTACATAAACATATATATATATATACATATATATATATATATATATGTGCATATATATATATATATATGTATAGAGAGAGAGATAGAGAGATGCGATGCTTTCTGTGTACATGTATATACACACAAACACATCTATCTTCCTTTCTATTTCAGTCACCATTGCTTGGAGATACACCCCGAAACTCTGTTTCATTATTTCAGGGCCTTGTACCAGAGATTCGAGCTTCGGGCCTAAGGCTTATTGCTTCTGGGGTCTCCTAGCTCCCGGGCTTCATATCCAAGACTTAGATACCCAATGGGAGAATTTTCGGCATGGCCTTATAGGGTTTAGAGTATAGGGCTTATACATTTGGTCAAACTTCGAAAGTTTGAACTTTAGTGGGACCGATGACTGAGGAAGAGGGTCTAGTGTTTCGAGCAGGGCTTTGGAGTGTAATGTCATCTTTTCGTATATAGGGACTATAAGGAAGTGCTGGTATGCGATTGCTTCATGAATCACAGCTGCGCATCGAGTTTTGGGATTTCAGGCTTCGAGGTTATGGGGCTTTAGTGTTCTCAATACATTAGGGAAGTAATGTAGGGGTCGGAAGAATGGTGAATCGTATTCCCTCCTCTGCACCAGATACTTGCAGTATTTCAGACGCCAGGCCTTATTCCCATGATCAAGGCCTCTACATGAGGCATTTCGCGGGTTTGGGTTGTCAAGGTTGACGTTTCAGGGTTTAGGGTTCAGGGTCTAGGATTTGTTTTTGCATAGAGACAAAGAACTCAACACCATTTTGGACAACCGTAAAATTCTAATCCCCTGAACCAGGACACCGTGTGTTACAACTCCGCTATCGCGGCCTGTGCGGCTGGGGCGCGCTTCAAATACCCCTCACCACCTCTAATGTAGGGGCGTAAATAATTACCTATACTATTGTTGGGGCTCCTTGTTACAATTCTGGTACAATGGACCCCACAACTATATTCCAATTTTCAAGGCCCCTATAGTAGCTATATAGTAATATTCCGGACCTTGTAATATAGAAGCCGGAGTAATTACCAACATCATTCCTTAGGGGTTCCTTCTTATATCGATACCATAAAGTAGCCCAAAACCCTATTCTGATTAGTAAGGCCCCTACATTAGTAATATTCCAGAACCTGTACTTATCTAAAGAAAGGAAGGGAGGCCGTTGGGTTTCAATAGGGTTTAGGGTCTCGGGTTCAGGGTTTAGGGTTTAGGGGTTTAGGGTTTAGGGGTTTAGGGTTTAGGGGTTTAGGGTCTCGGGTTCAGGGTTTTAGGGTTGAGGGGTTTAGGGGGCATCACGTCGTTTTGTTAACACCGAGCCCCGAGCCCCGCCCCCCAGAACCTCTAAACTGAAAGCCTGCTAGACCTTATCGGGTTTAGGGTTTAGGGTTTAGGGGTTTAGGGTTTAGGGTTTAGGGGTTTAGGGTTTAGTTATCTTAGTTACATGACCATGCCGGGCTTGTTGTTGGGGTAGCTTCTTGGTGTTGGTATAGATCCTAAACCCAAACCCTTAAACCATAAACCCTAAACTAAGACCCTAACATGGAATTTGGAGGTAGGGTTTAGGGTTTAGGTTTCGGGCTTAACTTTTGGCTTGGAGTTCAGTGGTGTTTAGTCGGGTTTAGTGTTCAGGGTTCAGGGTTCAGGGTACAATGGTTGTTGGTGGGGCGCAAGGTTTTCTAGGTTTTAAGTTTCAGGAGGTAGGTTCCCATGATTGCCAACTGAGTGGCATCCACCAGCTGCATTTTCAGATGCTGAAACCCTAAACTCTAAATCCTAAAACCTAAACTCTCAACCCTAAACTCTAAACCCTAAACCTAAACCTAAACCCTGAACCGTAAACTCTAAACCCTAAGCCCTAAACCTTAAAGCCCAAACCTGAACCCTGAAGAATGGAAGCGGGCTATTGGCGTCAGAGCCAGGATCGCCAAGGTTCCGAAACCCCCAACCCTAAATCGTTGCAATATGGTTTAGGGCCTGGGGGTTTGGGGTTTGGGGCTTAAAGTTTGGGGTTTAGGGTTTATGGTCTGGGGTTTAGGGTTGAGGCTAAACTGGCCCCTTAATCCGTGAAGCTTAAGGTTTAGGGTTTAGGGTTGTCCTAAACCCTAAACCCTAAACCCTAAACCCTAAACCCCAAACCTAGAGGCCGCTTGCCCTCCCAAGGACGCTGAGGCCTGGCACGTTGCGCTTGAGCTCCTGGCGGCGATGGAGACAGGAAAGCTCGAACCTACAGCAGCCTTGCCGCGACAATGTTAGGTTCATAAGGGTGCAGTGATGAGATTAGAGTGAATGTAGAAGCTCGAATTATTGTTAATGCTGGTCCTTAGGTGTCTGAAACCCCGTTGTACTTGCAAATGCCCCTATTGCCGGTTCCGATTTGAGGGTTTTACACCCTGCTGAAGGGTCCTTGTGCTGATACAGTATACAAATATATACTTTGGCCGTAGAGTTTCTACACAGTTTATGGGAAACCGCTTAATGCCAAAATTCTTTGCAAAGTGTTTGAAAGCCTTATGCAAGAGCAGTTAGAGGATACCTTGCCACTTTGGGTGTATGGCACCACCCAGACCCCACCCCAGGATAAAGATCTCAGTCCCCACTTAGGATCACATCTATTTAAAGATCTAAACCCTAAACCCTAAACCCTAAACCCAATACTAGGATATCCACCCCAAGATCCTGGCTCAAGTTACCATCCTAGGAATAATGTTTCCAACTGGTCGAGTGCCATTCATCTAACTAGGCAAGGGGGTCTTGTAGAATTGCTCAGTTCTGAACCCTGTGGTTCTGCATTGTAGCCTCAAAAATCTTCACCCTAAACCCTAAAACCTAAATCGCCGGCATAACCAACCTCAGGAATTTTTCAGAGAAACATCGCACCCGTGCTAATTCAAGACTCACGAGCAGCCAGATTTACTTTTCGTGAATAGGCACAGCCCATATAACTTAGATAGCCAACGGGAGAACTTTAAGAAATAAAGCAAACAAGCATCACTCTCGGCGTCCAACCCCTAAGATCTTAACCCCTAAGATTCGACCCGCGCATCCAACCATTATGCCATCCTAAGAAGACTCCGCAACTCATATCCGACAGACTTGCTGCTTGACCAGTGCAGCGGTTCACACTCGTGTTGGCTTGCGCTGTTTGCCTCTCAGCTTTGAGCGCTACTAGTCTTGATGGAGTTCTGCAGCTCCTTTTTGCTCAGAAAAATCGAGCAATGCTCAAAAGGGTGTGTGAGTGCCTTGAAAGCTTGCCGGACAAACATAGAAAGAAGGTTTGCAAACTCTGGATGCCGTGGAGCAGGAGTACGACAAGAAGGAGAGGTAGCACGAATAAAATGAACGTTTTCCTTATTACTAACAGCCCAAAGCTGGTTTTTTAAATGAACTGGGCATGGACGGTTAGTATGCTAATAAGTCAGTAAAATGGGATACGGAGACTGGTGAGTAACAAACATTGTTAATTGGGATTTCCTACAGGTGTATAATATAGCGGCTTCAATAATTGGAATAGGGTCTGGGGGCCCATTATACTATAATCATAATAAGGAACCCCCGAAATAGTATTGGTAATCATTTAGGCCCCTACATTATTGCAGCCCACAGATCTCCCCCAGGCACAGTCCCGAAGCTGTGGTGCTTCTAACATCGACAGTTTCCTAGGTATGGGGAGGAGAGTACTTTGTCACTGTCCTGTGCGTCTTGAACTTACTGAGCGGGCATGCAACAAAAATTGTGTGGGTTCTCATGTCACAGTATGGCTCCCATGGAAGGCAGCATCGCGAAGCACGTAGGAATTCAATTTTCTAACGGCCTTCCCCATGAAGTCCTTCGCAAGGTGACACGGGTGATGCTGCATGCCATGAAGATGTAATGATTGTGGTCAGGAAGCTGGTTGAGTTGCTTTGCTTGCGCGACCTGTATATAGCTCCTATCCTATTGTCGTGTATGCAAAGCCAGTGTCTGTGCAACGCACGACTACACTGCTTATGCCGTCTTTATGCCTTTAGGGGATTCAGAGTTTGGATTGTCGCGGTGTTGAGCGAAAGCATGCCTCAGGAGTTTGCAAGATTGTTCTGATTTCGATGTACAGCTTCGCAGCCTTGACAAGTTTCCTTCTGGCCGAAGACATTCGTGTCCTTATTCTTCGTGCCGTGGTACTCGTGCTGTTCCCTAGATGGCGCCGAACCATCAGCGAGAAAAATTCAGGATGGAACCTTCGCGCGAATGCTGCTTCACAAGCTCTGTATAAATCGTGGTTTTGCATCTCGTCACGTGTGCCCAACGCTGAGGCTTACAAGTCTTGTGCCCATACGGGCTGGACTATGAATCCAGATGCCAACGTCGTACACACGAGGCAAATTAAGTCTTTACCTCCGGACCCCATCCGCAACCACTTTAACCACTAAACAAAAAGCAGATTGCTTCACTGGTTGATCAACTTCGAGCTCGCTCCACGCGGTAAATACCTCATAAGTCCTTATCCCCGAAGGTATCACGCCTGATTCTTGCACTGGAAACGCAGGCTGTTTCCTACAATGCCGCCATCGCAGCATGCCGGAACCTCAAAGCATTCTAGTAACAGGACAGTTCGGATGTGAGCCTTCCTATTGCTTGGGCCGCCCAACTCTGCAAACCTTTACGCCCGTGAATCCCATGCCTTGAATCGCATCATGTTGATTCTACAGAAGTTCAGTGTTACGAGACCGTTGTTTGGTTGGGCCCCCCACAAAGCCCCCCCTTACTATGCTTCCTCTATACAACTAAGCGCTTCGAACAGGTATTTTTTCAGGGTCCACTTAGGGTGTAAAGGTTTGCAGTGACGGTGTGCGGTGGCATGCCGGAGCTCTTCTTGAGGGCTGACCCTTGGCTCGTCAGAGTTAACAAGGCCGAAGGTTTCTGAAACGTATGAGCCTTACAGTACCGTTTGGACTTTATCGAGACATGCTACAATATCATGAGTCGTTAGGTCGGTTCTGAGGATTACACTAGACCTATATCATATGCGGGTGAAAATGATTACCAATACTGTTCTTTAGGCTTCCTTATCGCAGTTATAGTAAATAGGTGATCACGCAAAACTCCTTATTCCAAACAACAAAGTCGCTGTACTAGTTTAAACCGAGATCCACAAACCCTAAGTCCTAAGCCGTAACACCAAGGTGTAAGTCTTGAGCCGAGATCGAAATCCTGGTCATCGGAAGTAAAACGGTGCTACCTGCAACACATGGGTTTAAGGGGTCCACAAGCAACAGGTTTGGGCGCCTCAGGTTCTGCATGCAATTCTGGGAGTTGCCGGTTGCCTTACTTGCGGCTCGGAGTGCTAGAGCTATGGTAATTAAGATATTGTCAGGTAAATGGGCGAAAACCAAACCTTGCACTTTCTAAGTCCTAAGCTGTCAAGCTTCTAAGCCCTACAACCCTAAACCTTAAACCCT